GGAACTGCGGGCTGGAATACATAAACAGGGCAGCTCTGTTCATTCCGTGGCAGAATGACGCGCGCTACGGGCTGGTATCAGGGTGGCGCGCTTTATTCTACACAGTTCTTCTTTCTCTCTTCTGTGCACGGAGTGACCGGAACTGCGGGCTGGAACACATAAACAGGGCAGCTCCGTTCGTTCCGTGACAGAGTAAATAGGGCTACGGGCTGTGATACGACCAGGGTAGTGCTCTTTACTCTTCACACCTATTCTCTCTGACCTGCATTCTGCTCGGAGTAAGAAATTCGCGCACGAGGCCCAAAGGCCTAATCCTGCAAGCTGACGGTGTAGATACTGGACCGATCCTGGTTCCTGGAGCTTTCTTTTGCCGATTAACCGTTACCGTAACCGTCACCGTACCGTAATCTCGAACCGTTAAATTCACGCGACTAATCCGTCACGCACACGCACTTCGTTCGCTCCCCCTCACTCTCCGCTTAGCATTTCCTTTTATAAAACCTGTATCTTAATTAAGTTTTCTTGCATTTCCTTTTTGTATTATAAATTATTGGGTAGTCAATAAAAACTACTTTCTTGGTTGGATTGTGTGTTTCATTTTTGGGAAATGCGTAGGGACACCTGGTTTTCCGTCTCCACTGTTTAAAAGCTACCTAGAGCACGTGGGCCCTTAACCACAATAATCCTAAGGGTGGCGCCCGAGTTTTCCGAAAATTCCGAAATCAACCGCTTTCCTCCTGGAAAACCAAAGTAGCGCTACAAATTCAACCCCAAAGTTGACGAAAAAACCAAACTTCGTTGAAAAATTTTGTAGCAGTTTCAAAGTTGGTCCAATTATTGTTTGGACAGATACGAGTAAAATATCAAAAAAGCACATGTTTATCTCGGGGTTGAAGGGGGGAAATTCAACCCCAAAGTTGACGAAAAAACCAAACTTCGTTGAAAAATTTTGTAGCAGTTTCAAAGTTGGTCCAATTATTGTTTGGACAGATACGAGTAAAATATCAAAAAAGCACATGTTTATCTCGGGGATGAAGGGGGGAAATTCAACCCCAAAGTTGACGAAAAAACCAAACTTCGTTGAAAAATTTTGTAGCAGTTTCAAAGTTGGTCCAATTATTGTTTGGACAGATACGAGTAAAATATCAAAAAAGCACATGTTTATCTCGGGGTTGAAGGGGGGAAATTGAACCCCAAAGTAGACGAAAAAACCAAACTTCGTTGAAAAATTTTGTAGCAGTTTCAAAGTTGGTCCAATTATTGTTTGGACAGATACGAGTAAAATATCAAAAAAGCACATGTTTATCTCGGGTTTGAAGGGGGGAAATTCAACCCCAAAGTTGACGAAAAAACCAAACTTCGTTGAAAAATTTTGTAGCAGTTTCAGAGTTGGTCCAATTATTGTTTGGACAGATACGAGTAAAATATCAAAAAAGCACATGTTTATCTCGGGGATGAAGGGGGGAAATTCAACCCCAAAGTTGACGAAAAAAATCAAACTTCTTTGAAAAATTTTGTAGCAGTTTCAAAGTTGGTCCAATTATTGTTTGGATAGATACGAGTAAAATATCAAAAAAGCACATGTTTATCTCGGGGATGAAGGGGGGAAATTCAACCCCAAAGTTGACGAAAATTTCAATCAACACTAACTAAAAAAGATATGTATATTATATCTTTGTACTGTTAACCATGACGAAGTACCTACCTGCCACTTTATCTACCGACAATTATTAATTTTGAGTAAGATCGTAAAATGGAAATGAGTTACCGACCTTTTTAGACCTTTATTCTTTCCCTTTTCTCAAAGTGAGCTGAGTTTATTCTTAACGATTTGCAAAAATATTAAAAAATTTCTTCTGCCTAAAAGATACCTGATCAACTGGCTAAAATAAAAATACGATGAATTATAGACGCATTATAACGTGTTGCGAAAACTAATTATAAAAGAGAAAAATTAATTTTTTCCTACTACTGTGTGTAAAGTACGCACTTCATGCACTGTTCAGAAGTCGTGAAAATCCATTTCACAAACTAATGCGTAAAGTAAATGTTGACACTCAATTAAGTATTTTTCTGGTAAATTATTTCACGCACTAATGCGTAGAGTGAAAATACTTCACGCACTAGTGCGTAAAATATTTGTCTAAACCTATTCTTTAACACATATTTGATTGGTAGTAGAAAACTTTTTGTATGCAATACGTGCAAAAAACACCTTTTTTACTCATGTGATCATGTGTCGTCAAAATTCACATTCGTGAAAAAAGGTTCACTTCAAGCACTTGTTGCATAAATAACTATTATTGCAAACTTTTCTGAACAAAAACCTAGGAGGGAAATCTCTTTTGGAAAAATGTGACCTCATTTTTCAAAGAAATTTTTTTTTTCGTCAACTGGGGTTGAATTTCCTCCCTTCATCCCCGAGATAAACATGTGCTTTTCTGATATTTTACTCGTATCTCTCCAAACAATAATTGGACCAACTTTGAAACTGCTACAAAATTTTTCAAAGAAGTTTGATTTTTTTCAACTTTGAGGTTGAATTTCCCCCCTTTAACCGCGAGATAAACATGTGCTTTTTTGATATTTTACTCGTATCTGTCCAAACAATAATTGGACCAACTCTGAAACTGCTACAAAATTTTTCAACGAAGTTTGGTTTTTTCGTCAACTTTGGGGTTGAATTTCCCCCCTTCATCCCCGAGATAAACATGTGCTTCGAGATGTGCTTTTTTGATATTTTACTCGTATCTATCCAAACAATAATTGGACCAACTTTGAAACTGCTACAAAATTTTTCAAAGAAGTTTGATTTTTTTCAACTTTGGGGTTGAATTTCCCCCCTTCAACCCCGAGATAAACATGTGCTTTTTTGATATTTTACTCGTATCTGTCCAAACAATAATTGGACCAATTTTGAAACTGCTACAAAATTTTTCAAAGAAGTTTGATTTTTTTCGTCAACTTTGGGGTTGAATTTCCCCCCTTCAACCCCGAGGTGAACATGTGCTTTTTTGATATTTTACTCGTATCTATCCAAACAATAATTGAACCAACTTTGAAACTGCTACAAAATTTTTCAAATAAGTTTGATTTTTTCGTCAACTTTGGGGTTGAATTTCCCCCCTTCATCCCCGAGATAAACATGTGCTTTTTTGATATTTTACTCGTTTCAATCCAAACAATAGTTGAACCAACTTTGAAACTGCTACAAAAATTTTCAAATAAGTTTGATTTTTTCGTCAACTTTGGGGTTGAATTTCCCCCCTTCATCCCCGAGATAAACATGTGCTTCGAGATGTGCTTTTTTGATATTTTACTCGTATCTATCCAAACAATAATTGGACCAACTTTGAAACTGCTACAAAATTTTTCAAAGAAGTTTGATTTTTTTCATCAACTTTGGGGTTGAATTTCCCCCCTTCAAACCCGAGATAAACATGTGCTTTTTTGATATTTTACTCGTATCTGTCCAAACAATAATTGGACCAACTTTGAAACTGCTACAAAATTTTTCAAAGAAGTTTGATTTTTTTCGTCAACTTTGGGGTTGAATTTCCCCCCTTCAACCCCGAGGTGAACATGTGCTTTTTTGATATTTTACTCGTATCTATCCAAACAATAATTGAACCAACTTTGAAACTGCTACAAAATTTTTCAAATAAGTTTGATTTTTTCGTCAACTTTGGGGTTGAATTTCCCCCCTTCAACCCCGAGATTAAACATGTGCTTTTTTGATATTTTACTCGTATCAATCAAAACAATAATTGGACCAACTTTGAAACCGCTACAAAATTTTTCAAATAAGTTTGATTTTTTCGTCAACTTTGGGGTTGAATTTCCCCCCTTCATCCCCGAGATAAACATTTGCTTTTTTGATATTTTACTCGTATCAAACAAAACAATAATTGGACCAACTTTGAAACCGCTACAAAATTTTTCAAAGAGGTTTGATTTTTTTCATCAAGTTTGGGGTCGAATTTCTCCCCTTCATCCCCGAGATAAACATGTGCTTTTTTGATATTTTACTCGTTTCAATCCAAACAATAGTTGAACCAACTTTGAAACTGCTACAAAAATTTTCAAATAAGTTTGATTTTTTCGTCAACTTTGGGGTTGAATTTCCCCCCTTCAACCCCGAGATTAAACATGTGCTTTTTTGATATTTTACTCGTATCAATCCAAACAATAATTGGACCAACTTTGAAACTGCTACAAAAATTTTCAAATAAGTTTGATTTTTTTCGTCAACTTTGGGGTTGAATTTCCCCCCTTCAACCCCGAGATGAACATGTGCTTTTTTGATATTTTACTCGTATCTATCCAAACAATAGTTGAACCAACTTTGAAACTGCTACAAAAATTTTCAAATAAGTTTGATTTTTTCGTCAACTTTGGGGTTGAATTTCCCCCCTTCAACCCCGAGATTAAACATGTGCTTTTTTGATATGTCCCTCATATCTATTCAAGCAATATTTCTATCAACTTTGGTGGTGCTCCCAATTTTGGCGATACCTGATCTGATTTACCTTTTTGGGGCGGAATCTACCCCCTTTTACCCCTCCCTGGACAAATGATTTTTTAGTATGTGACGTACATCACCCCCAGTATTATTTCCACCAAGTTTGATGATGTTACAGAATCTTTAAGTAAAGTTTTTTGGATTTATTTTATTTGTGGCACTACTTATTTGGTCGACTGTAAAAACATGATTCTCATTTCTGAATCTGATGCTAACTTCAGCGACATGAATTTAGTAGGGGTTAATGCTGCAAAAATATCTTCCAAAATGATAACATTCTTTGGAACGGTTCAAAATATTTTTGTGTTTTTCTCTGGGTCAACCGGTCGTTGGGATACATTAAAGCGACATGTGAAAATAACTTTAAAAGCTAGTAGTGACACTAGATGGTCTGCTAAAAACCAGGCTATATCTGCATTGTATAACCAATTACCCGACGTTATAAACGCACTTAAAGAAATTATCGAACTACAGACAAATGAGGAAAGTGTTTCGGCTGATAAATCGTTTATCAAGCAAATTGATTACGTATAAATTTATTTGTTATCTTACGTTATGGAGGTACGTTCTAGATAAAATAGACAAAGTTAGTATTGCTCTTCAGCAAAAAGACATTACGTTGTCAACAGCCAGTATTCTCCTCAAAAGTTTAAAAGAAGATTTGCTCAAATTTAGACTTACTGAATTTGAAAATATTTACGAAAAGGCAAAGGAAATTTGCGATAAAATGAATATATCACCCGAGTTTATTGCCAAAAGAAAAATTAAAATAAAAAAGTTATTTTCCTATGAAGCAGAAGACGAGGGTAACCGTTTTTCGGAAAAAGAAAAATTTAAAACCAGTTTCTTGGAAGTCTTAGACAGCATTTATAATCAAATTGAGACGCGTTTTGAAAATTTACAAGTCATAAACGAAGATTTCAACTTTTTGACCGGCCATTCCATAACAAACAAAAGCGATGATGATTTGAAAAAAAATATTCTAAAGATATTGATGGCAATGAATTATATTTAGAGGTGGTGAGTGCCAAAGCAATGGTAGGAAATATTAAAGGTGCACTAGCTGAAAAATTGTCTCATTTGGATATGTATCAATTGATAATAGATTATAATTTAGTAGACAGTTACCCCAATATGTCTATCTGCTACAGAGTTTTTCTTTCAATCCCAGCTACATCCGCGTCATGTGAGCGTTCTTTCAGCAAACTAAAGTTAATAAAAAGTTATTTACGGTCCTCTATGGGACAAGAAAGACTCAGTAATTTAGCATTAATTTCCATCGAATCTTCAATGGTTGATAATCTTAACTTCAAAGAAATAATCGATGCTTTCGCCAATGCCAAGGCAAGGCGAGTTCATTTTTAATTTAATCTTGGTAGTATTGGTATAGTTCCTCATAATAACTTTACTATCATTCTTTTCAATCCTTCTATTATGTTTTATTTTCCAAATAATGTTGTTTTTTTGTTTTGTTTTTTATATTTCATAAGCGTGTTTATTTTTACCTAGCTATTGCTACTAGGACCTAATATGAATTAATTTTTATTTGTATCAATTACCAATTTACGAATTTACTGACTTATATTATTTTTATTTTATGTTTTTGGGTTTGGGACATCTATTGATTTTTTTTTTTAATAAATGTTACAAATTCTCCGCAGTGTTTTTTTTAATACTTAGTACCTACTACCTAGTACGTAAATATATTTGATTGTGTCTAAATTATATATTTCGAAAATGTATTGAAAAAATTTCAAGCAAAAACCAAAGCATCAAAAAATATATCTATTATTACTTTTGAGAAGGCGGGATGGAGGGGCGCCAAAATTTGGATTTGCCTTGGGCGCCGAGGGCTCTAGTTGCGGCCCTGTTAATTTCAACTTTTTTATTAAATTTTTCATGCGAGTTTTGTAACCGATGGGCTCGCTCTTACAAATATACTTGGAGGCACTCAATAAGTCGCGTCTAACAGTCTAACGTCATGTCACCTTGATTTTCATAAGATCAATGTGTACAAAAGAGAAAGATAGAACGTTAGGAATTATGTGTACGACGGAGAAAAATTGAACGTCAGATCGGACTTAGATTGCCTGTTGAGTAGGTATAGAAAATTACATCCCTCTGCGCTGTGGCTGTAAACCATAAACTTACAATGCAGGCATAGAATATTATAATGAACTAGCTAATTTTTTAGTAAAAGAAAAAAAAGTGCAGATTCAAGTAACAATGATGATTCCATAATTGCGTTAGGGTAAGTTATAAATTGTGGCATTCTACTTTCAGCTTGCACTTAAAGAAATAATCTGATAACATTTTCAATTTCAAAAGAAATAATACCTATAATAATACTAATTTTCTAGGAGTGCAATGTGTAACGGTGTCAAATTTCATTTGATATTTCAATAACATTATTTACATTTAAGGTCCAAGGAATTTATACAAACCTCTCCGAATTTTCAAGAAATTGAGCATCAGGAAACCCTTGATCATAGGTAATTATTTTTCTGGTAAATTAAAATAAAAAAGGTATGGTTCTTCAATATACCGTTAAGGGCGGTAAAGGCACTTTCCGCATGTGTTAGGTGCAAAATTTTACCTATGAGCATCTACATCTTCAAAAAAAAGCATTAATAAAATTAATTAATGATTCAGATAAATTAATGAAATTAGATTAGATTTAGAAATGATCAAAAATCCATTTTTTCCCCAAACTTCAGAAAAACGTCACTTTATTAACACCTGTCAAGATGTCAGAAATTTGATTTCTATACTGCTAAGCAAATCCAGCGGGTTAACACCTGTCGAGGTGGTAGAAATTTAATTTCTATGCTGCTTGACAACCCCAGCGGCAGCAAAAGTACTTTTAGTGCCGCTGGAGCGGCAGTAGAAGTACTTTTAGTGCCGCTCGTACTTTTACTGCCGCGCAGCCATTCAGTTACGCCCGAGCTTACTCCATTCGTTTGGAGAAAAAATAGCCTGTTGCATACGGAGTAGAAGCACTTTTTTGTGCCTCAGCAGTATTGCAAGCCTCACTACGTTCGGCTCGCAAACCTACCACTTCAGCACAAAAAAGTGAAGCTCCTAATACAACAATATACTATTCTGAAAAAAAAAAAAGATTTTCTATCATAAATACTAAAATCTACTTTACCGCATACTATGCGGTAAAGTTAACTTTACCGCACACTTTGCAGTCCACTTTACCGCATATTATGCGGTAAAGTTAACTTTACCGCACACTATGCGGTAAAATAACTTTACCGCATAGTGTGCGGTAAAGTGCTACTTTCCATTTGCAAAAGGCTGCGGTAAAGTGCACTTTACCGCACGCTCGTAGGTAAAAGATAAAACAAAACAAGTATAGTTATAGTTATACGTCTAGAAATAGTTTTTTTTTAATAGGTACCTATCTTTTTTTAAATACGATATTAGTTCTCCTAGATGTACTACCCCTTTGACAACGAAAACCGACTCACAGAAGGATAACGATAACAGCCATATTGTAAATGGGTAAGAAATTGATAACTTATTATTTTGAAATATTTTGAAGGCTGGCTTTTAATATAAATACTTAAAAATAAAAGAGAAAAAAAAAAAAAAAATAATTAGGTATTTCCATTTTTATTTTTTTTGATTTGAATTCATCGATCATTGATGAATGAATTGGTTAATAAAGATTTTTTCTACTACCGTGCGTAAAGTACTCACTTTACACACTGTTCAGAAGACGTAAAATTTCACTTCACGCACTAATGTGTAAAGTAATTCACTTCACACACTAGTGCGTAAGGTAATGTCAATGGCAGATGTCGACAACTGTCAATTTGGAATTTTTCTGGTAAATTACTTCACGCACTAGTGCGTAAAGTGAAAATACTTCACGCACTAGTGCGTAAAGTATTTATCCAAATTTACTTTTTTACACATATTTTATTGGTAGTAGAAAAAATGTTTTATGCAATACGTGTGTAAAGCACCTTTTTTCACTCATGTGATTGTCGCACTCACCTTCGGCTCGTGCGTCAAACTTCACATTTGTGAAAAAAGGTTCACTTTACACACTTGTTGCATAAATAACTATTTCTTTAATTTGGAATATTTCATTTACGTTGTGTTGTTTTAGTTTTGATTACAATTTTTTTAAATTTTTTCCCACAAGGAAAAGTAATTTGTGCACCTATCAAAAGATACAGAGAATTAACTTTTTTTCCCGTCCGAAATAAAAGTATTTCCAAATTGTTTTATTTTTTAATGTTTATTATATTAGTTACAATTAGCAAAATTTGGGTGTGGCCCAAAAAAAAATTCCGCCTGCGGTGCGCTTTCCACGATTCCCCCAAGAGCAGGGCCGAGATTCTAAAATCACGATTCGACACACGACTCGACAACGATACCGGCCTTGTCGTGTCGAAAGCTATAATTCCAATGAGATTTCTAACCTAGAATCGTCGGAAAAATCGTCTCGTTGTCGAATCGTATGTCGAATCGTGATTTTAGAATCCCCGACCAGTTTATTTGCCCCCCCCCCCTGTGACAAATTCTGTGGGCGCCGTTGTTATTTCCATAACACTGACTGAAAGACAGAGCAATCGTTCTTGTGAGAACGCTGTTCCCTGTTTACGAGAATAGATACCGGTCCTTAAAAAAGTTGCTATATTGAAAATTTTCCTGATATTTTTTTCTTAATCTTGATTTATTTACTTTTTAGGACGAAACAATATATAATTGAAAGAATATTCATTTCCCTGGATCATTGTTAATTTGGTTTTTTCATAATTTGATGATTTTTAATTCCAATCACCATATAATAAAACCAATTGGGTAATTAATAACACCAAGGATGTCTACATGCCTGAATTCACCAACACTAACATTGGTCTGGAGTTGCTTAACCGATTTCTAAGTAAGTTTCTTTATTGTCTTATAAAAATTTATTTGGTTTTACAATTGTGTCCTGTTGCTCTTTCAGGGCTTGAAAAAGTATATATATTATACGAAACGTCGCCATAAGATAAGTGGTTTTCTTTACTCCTTATTCCCATAACCCATGAAAAAACCAAATTAACAATATATAATGGAAGGAAATAGAATTATCGACTTAAGATATTTCCTTAATCGTCTCTCAGAAAAATCAAACCACAATAGTATGTTTAGCTGTACCCTAGAAAATTTAGTTTTTGCTAATGAAGTTCAAGAGGGGCTGTTGTCAAAATTTCTAGTAAAATGTAATATGTGTAATTATAGCGCTGAGATTTCATCAGCTGACCCCAAAGACCACAAGATGAATCTTAACAAATGTTTGGTGAACGTAGTTACAAGCATTGGTTGTGGATTCGCTCACCTGCAAGACATTTTAAATAATTTGCAACTCCCGGTACTTTCTCAGCGGAAATATGCTGACATTCAATCAAAACTATTTGATGAGATAGAAGAGAGCGCAATTCAAGAAATGCGCAAAGCAGCCGATGAAGAAAAAGCTATTGCATTATCTGAAAAGAATGTTGGTGTGGATGGAGTGCTGGAAATCCTAGTAGTGTGCGATGGCACATGGCCTAAACGTTCTTATGGAAAAAAATTACTCCTCAAAATCTGGAGCTGCCGCCATTATTGGGTATAAAACCAAAAAGGTTCTATACTTAGGTGTAAACAATAAATATTGCGTAGCGTGTGAAATAAACAAGAAAAAGACTGGCACACCCAAAGTACATCGATGTTTCAAAAATTATGATGGTCCATCTACAGGTATGGAGGCTGCAATACTTGTAGAAGGTTTTAAATCTAGTGAGGATATGTACGGTTTACGTTATTCTAAATTTATTGGCGATGGTGATAGTAATGTCCACAAAAAAATTTTAGAATCCTTTCCGTATAGAAAACCTGTAGAAAAAATCGAATGTAGAAATCATCTCATAAGAAATTTTAGGACGAAAATGGAAGACCAACGTCCAACGGTCCTTTACAAATGAGAACTAAAATAAAACAGAATATTTTACGAATGAGAATAGCTATTGTTAAAGCAGTAAGACATCGGAAATCTGAAGATGTGCCACATCAAACAAAGTGTGTTAATCTTAGAAAGGATATTTTAAATATTCCGAGTCATACGTTTGGGGAACATCAGAACTGTAAGAGCCTAAGGTATTTTTGTGAGAAGGATAGCCCTTGTCAAGACAATTTAGTGCCTCAGCCATGGGCGTCGTTACGAGGTTTCTCAGGGGGGGGCAGCACTATAATAAGATCAGTTCCAATAGCGCCGCTGGCAACCGCCGAAGGCGAAATTTTTTTCGGTGCCACGCCACTTTTTTGAGCATTTCAACGTACTTATTCGATATCGATAGTTAAAAATGATGGTATTTTTTTCTGCAACAAATTCAGTCTCCGCATCATTTGTTTAGGTAATTGTCTAATGGCCACAAGAAGAAGGAAGCTAAATTTGAAATCTCCGACCCTTAATGGTACACAACTAACATTTTCCAACGAAGTGAAGTACTTAGGGGTCACCCTGGATCGAACCCTCACTTGGAACAAACAGAGAAAACATGCTCTCGAGCTACATCAGCCTTCTGGTCATGCCGAAAACTTGTTGGCAAAACATGGGGGCTAAAGCCAAAGATGGTATTCTGGATCTACCAAACTATAATAAAGCCGATGGTCACATATACCTCATTCATGTGGTGGCACAAAACCCAACAAGTCACCGCTCAGATCAAGCTAAGAAAGGTGCAAAGGCTGATATGTCTAGGAATAACGGGAGCAATGTCAACTTGTCCCACTGCAGCCCTAGAGACGCTACTCAACATGCCCCCACTTCACCTATGTGTGAAAAAGGAGGCAATAACCAGCGCTCACAGGCTATTCCAAATAGACAAGTTCAAGCCTGGTGATATGAGGGGACATCTGCGAATCCTTGATTTAATAAAACTGGAGAATGCCAGCAAACCAAGTGACCACATGATGGTAAGATTGGACTTAGAGATCCCCTTCGCAGTGGTAATAAACGTCCGCCAATCATGGGGGAATAAAGAATTGCCACCAGCAGACAATGCATCTCTGTGGTACATAGATGGATCCAAGCTAATGGAAGGAGCTGGACTGGGCATTTCCGGCCCTAACTTCAAGCTCTCCAAGGCATTGGGTAAACATCTTACAATATTTCAAGCCGAACTGCTTGCCATATATATATATGTGCACAAGAGTGTCTTGACCAAAGCCTCAAAAGAAAACACATCTTCATACTATCGGACAGCCAAGCTGCCTTAAAAGCCTCAAGGGCTTTTAAATGCACGTCAAAACTAGTCTGAGAGTGTAAACAGACCCTAAAAACACTAGGGACACACAACCAGGTAACGCTGATGTGGCTGCCTGGTCATCGAGGCATGAAGGAAACGAAGAAGCAACACCATACCATGGACCAAAGCCCTACTCAAGCTTAATGAAAAGCCATATTATGGAAGAACTCAACAAATGGGAGAAAAGAAAGACCAACTGTCATCATATTGGAGGCACACGCCGGGACTCAGACAGTCGAAAAGGTTTATTATCTTTCAGCAAAAAGAGCTGAACATCTCCTAAACATGAGCAGACCAGACATCAGATTGGTGGTAGGACTGATGCTCACAGGACACAGCCTAGTAAAATACCATTGAAGGTACTATTGAAAACTATTTCTAGGGGGGGGCAAATGCCCCCTCTTGCCCCCCCCCAAACGACGCCCATGGCCTCAGCTGAAAGAAGTTGCATTATACCAAAAACTCCAAACAATATTTGACCATCTTTCCAAATTCAGCAATAGTTTGATTCATGATGTTGACAGCAACTTGGTAGAACAATTTAATAGCGTTATAAGCAAATATATTGGGGGCAAACGTGTAAACTATACCTAGAAGAGACAGTACAAAAGTAGAAGTTACTTTGCAGCACTGACCTATAATACCAAGCTCTCAAGCTACTATAGTTTGCATAAGTTTAACTATGGTAGCAGCCCCTCTTTGATTTTGAATAAAAAATATGAAAAAAGGCGGCAACTACTACACTACAGGCAGAAGCCCAGAAAGAAATTATTTAAAGAGAAAGATCATAAAGAGGCCACTAATACCAACAAAAATTATGGACCAAATTGCGAGAAACCGGACATGACCCTCGAGGAATACCAGGAACGGAAGGAAGAATTTTTGAAAAACATTAAGAAAACAAAAACGGAAATTGAAAACATCGAAGAAAGAACAAGAGAACAGGCTAATTCTACTGAATGGTTAGAAGCAAGAAGAATTATTTTAACTGCTTCCAATTTCGCAACTATTTGTAAGCGGAGGCCAACAACATATTGTGGACCCTTAGTCAAAACACTTCTCACAAATAGCTTTATCCAATCTAGCGCGCTAAGTTGGGGAAGGGATAATGAAGGAAAAGCTTTTGAGGAATTGATGAACAAACAAAAACTGATTATAAAAAAATGTGGATTATTTATCAGTGAAAAACACTCATTCTTGGGGGCATCACCTGATGGATTAATTGGTAATAACGGACTAGTGGAAATAAAATGCCCATGGTCCGCAAGGCATCTGACACCAGAAGAAGGAATCTCTCAAAAAAAAATTACAATTTGGAAGTATACCAAAGATGAATGTATTTTAAATACCAATCATAAGTGGTATTTTCAGGTACAGGGACAGCTAGCTGTCACTGATAGAGCCTATTGTGTATTGTGCGTCTGGACTCCTTTGGGTATGAAGTGTGAAACAATTTTAAAAGATGATGATTTTTGGAAAGAAAATATGTTTCCGTTCTTGGAATTTTTTTATTTTTACTGTTATTTACCAGAGCTTGTAGATAGCCGATTAGCAAGAAATATGCCTATAAGAGAACCGGACTATATTGTTGAAGCGAATGAAAAGAAAAAAACGAGCATGGCCTGAATATATTGATAATATGGATCTTATTACCAATACCGCTTTTCTGGATCAAGCTTCTTGCAGCGCTTGCAGAATTTGCGTAATAGAAATTAATGAATTTTAGTGGACTGTATTTTGAAAAAGACTCGTGTGAAGACTCGACTATATTTCTATTTTTCAACTTGTTATAAACAACACCATTCATCGTTATGACAATAATAAACAAAACAATTTCAAAGCTAGAGTACAAAAAGTTTATCTGGTTGCTAATTTGTGATTAATTAGGCAATCCAAACCACGTGACACTCAAGATGGCATGGCGGCCACACATGGGCCAAAAAACACAAAAAAATGTCTAGTTTCTGCCTGATTTAATAGTTTAGGTACCCAGTCAACAAATATTTTATTAAATAATCAAAATCAAAGTGGCAAGCAAAGTAATTTAAAATACACTAAAAACATATTCAAAACACACTTGCTTGGCCGCCACGCCATATTGAATTTTCCTTTTTGACAGATGGATTGGATTGCCCAATTGAAAATGTCAATTTTTGATTGATTAGAAATAAATCTCAACATGGCCCCCAGCTTTGAAAGGAATCTTTCAAATTGAATAATACTAAAAAACTTAAAATAATTGCATGGGCTCAATGCCAGGGGTGCGATTTTCGAAACCATTCGAGTACATTTCGTACACGAAATTTAACTGACAGCAATGTAAATTAAATGGAGAGCAGTCAAATTTCGTGTACGAAATGTACTCGAATGGTTTCGAAAATCGCACCCCAGTACCGAAACATCAATTGTATCGCTAAACCTAAAATTAATCTATTGGAAGTGGTGCTAATTTTACCACTGCGCGTTTAATAACACCGTTCGCAGTTTTTACGGACGCAACGCGCACAATTCCATCAGTTCCTGGATGAACGTCACAAATGCGACCAAGATGCCATTTATATGGAGGCCATTCATTGTCATGAATTAACACCATTTCACCAACCGCAAGGTTTCGCATATTTTGTTTCCATTTTTGTCGCTGTTGCAATTGAGCAACATATTCGTTGCACCACCTTTTCCAGAACTGTTGTTTTATTTTTTCTAACTGTTCAAACAAAGATAATCTGTTAGATGGGGTGCTCATAAGGTCAGGGTAAGGAAACGATACAGACGCACGACCTATTAAAAAATGAGATGGCGTAAGAACTGTTAAAGCGTTCCGATCAGCAGACATCGGTGTCAAAGGTCTAGAATTTAAAATACTCTCTATTTGTGAAATGATGGTATAAAAACTTTCAAATGTAAAAACACCTGGTGAAGATGTCATCACTTTGAGTAAATGTCCTTTGACGGACTTTATTCCCGCCTCCCATATACCACCCAGGTGTGGGGAATAAGCCGAAATGAAGTGCCATTTAATGTCAAGATCATTACCAAGTTGTTGAATAATAATACTTTTATTAGATTTTAAAAATTGCCCCAATTCTTTTAACCGATTATTCGCACCTGAAAAATTGCTGCCATTATCAGAATATACATTAGATGGCTGCCTCGACGTGATATGAACCTTTGAAAGGCTTCAAGAAAGATAGCAGTGCTCAAATCCGTCACCAGTTCAAGATGAACCGCTTTTACTGTTAAACAGATAAAAAGACAGAGATAATATTTTTTTTTGTTTTTGCACCACGGCCCTTCCTATCTTTGTATTGAAATGGACCTGCATAATCCACACCCACGTCTGAAAAAGGGGGTCTCACAGATATTCTGCATTCTGGCAAATTACCCATAATTGGATTAATGAACTTTGGCTTAAAACGGAAGCATATTACACATTGCCGCACAATGCGTTTAGGGACACTTTTTCCCGAAATTGGCCAAAAGTGTTCACGAGTCTTGGACAAAAGTAGTTGAGGACCACAATGATAGTTCTCATTATGTATATTTTTCAGAATAAGGTCTGTTAATTCATGCTTATGAGGCAAAAGAGCAGGATGTTTATTGTCGAATGAATAACTCGGGTTTTTGAGGCGACCACCTACCCTTATGATGCCATCCTTCAAAAACGGAGTTAAATTATTGAGATGACTTTTGTTGCTAACACTTCCAGACTTGATGAGTTCTTTTAACTCATCAGAGAATGACTCACGCTGAGCTAACATAATTAATTTATGGGAAGCTTCACGTAATTCGTCCAATGTTAATATTTGTTCATTGTCTATTTGATTGTAAGTAGCCTTACAATTTCTCAAAAATCGTAAACAATAAGCCATCACATGTTTTGCCCGTTGAAAAGAAGAAAACCTTGAAAAAGGAAATAGCAAATTATTAGAATCTAATTTGCCATGAACCAAAGCGCGTGTATTTTTTCGACATTCTGGCAATTCAGAAATTGGAACTGAATTGTGTAAAGTAATGTCATTTGGCCATTTTGATGAAGATTCATATAACCAATTAGGGCCATGACACCAGGAATTAGTTTCAAGGAGAGTTTTTGGTGACATGCCCCTCGAAAGAAATTCTGCTGGATTTTCAGCAGTTGGAACATATCTCCATGATTCAGAAGGGGCTAACTTCTGAATTTCCGAAACTCGATGTCCAATAAATACTTGGAAGTGATGTGGTGAAGAACGAATCCATGAGAGAGCTACCGTTGAATCACACCAAAAATAAATATTATCATAGTTTAGGGTTAAAGATGATGTAATTTTGGAAAAAAGTTATGCTAGAAGTAAAGCACCACTCAGTTCCAACCTAGGAATTGTAATAGACTTGATAGGAGCTACACGAGTTTTAGAGGCAAGAAGACGTACATGGACTTTTTTACCAATATCAACTGTGCGTAGATACACACAAGCACCGTATGCAGATTGAGAAGCGTCTGAAAATCCATGTAGTTCAACTCGAACCAGATTTTTGCAAGTTACTTGCCTTGAAATTTGAATTTTGTTAAGTACTGGAAGTTCAGATCTAAGAGAGAGCCACATATTTGCAAGTTCAGAGGGTACTTATTCGTCCCATGATAACTTGAGCAGCCATAATCTTTGCAAGAAGATTTTTGCACGAATTAAAACTGGAGCTAATAAACCGAGAGGGTCAAATATTCTAGCAATGTCTGAAAGAATTACCCTTTTGGTTACCCTTTTTGTTGATGGAAGTAAGTCAATATAGAAGGACAACAAATCATCTCGGCCAGACCAAAGCATCCCAAGTATTTTACTCGCCTCTGATGACCCAAAATAGAATTTATCCTCAGATACATTTAATGATTTCATTTGATTTAGAAGATCTGAACTATTCGACTTCCACTTTCTTAACTCAAAGCCTGCGCTTGCCAAAATAAATTTGTACCTGTTGGCATAAGTCAACAGCTTCTTCGAGGGAATTTGCACCAGATAAAAGATCATCAACATAGAAATCTCGCTTAATAACATCGGATGCCCGAGGATGAGATGCTTGATGATCGATTGAAAGTTGCAACAAACACCTAGTTGCTAAAAATGGAGCACTAGCTGTTCCATAAACAACAATATTAAGGGAGAAAGTTTGAAGTTCTTTTTCAGGACTAGACCGCCATAAAATTGATTGAAATGGTTTAAATTCGTCAGCAATAAGAATTTGTCTATACATTTTGCATACATCAGCAGATATTACATATGAATGCTGTCTAAAGCGAAGTAAAATGGATAGCAAATCCTCCTGCACTGTTCGACCTACCATCTGAATTGAATTATATGATTCACCTGAAGAAGACGGATAAGAACTATTGAAAACAACTCGTAATTTAGTAGTGCTTTTATCTTCACGTAGTACACCATGGTGAGGACAAAAGAATAATGATTGATTTCGTTGGGGTTGAAAAAGAGACATGTGATTAAGTTCTTTGTATTCGGACATAAATTCAACGTACATTCCCTTAAGCTTTGGATTTGACGCTAGTCGTTTTTCCAAATTATAGAATTGTTTAGATGCTCCTTGTTTAGAATCACCTAATGTTGAGAGTGAGTTCTTTAATGGAATAAATACAATAAATCGACCTTCGTCATTTCTCTTGAATGTTTGCTGGAAATGTTGTTCAGCATCTTGCTCTTCATCAGAAAAACTAACTTTGGATGATATTTCCTCGAGTTCCCAAAACTTCGATAATTGAAATTGAATGTCTTTGGAAATATGACAGGTAGTGGTTTGTTGTAAAGTTGATCCGCAAGGTCCTGAGATGTACCATCCAAATTTGCTGTTCTGCAAAAATGGCTTATCTGAACCTAAAGACTTCGTACCTTTACACAATAATTTCCAAAAAATACCTGCACCAATCAAAATGTCAATTTTACTCGATTCGTAAAATTTTGGATCAGCAAGCTGAATATACGAGGGAATTTCAAGAAATTTAGGATCCAATGATATAGTAGGAATATTATCAGTAATGCAAGGTAAAACTAAACACTTGAGACTTGTATTGTAACTGGAACATAAAGATTTAATGAAAATTTGACATGAATTTGAAGCATGAGCTTGGGCCTCATTAATACCACTAACGCAAATGTTAACTGAATCTTGTGGCAATTTTAACTTCTTAAGTGTACTTGCACTTATAAAACTTGACATAGAACCACTCTCCAAAAGAGCACGACAAACATGAAACCGACCAGAAGAATCTTTAACTTCCACCAATGCAGTGGCCAGCAAGATTTGGCCTTGATAAGATGCATTACATGTTGTGGTTTGAATTTCCTTAGCTTTTTGTAAATTTTGCTGATCCAAGATCTGCTCTGAAACCGAACTTTGATCTTGATCAGCCATTGAAACGTTAGCAGCAGTTTTTTCTTGAAATGAATGCAA